GGTGGATGTCAGGTTTGATGGAATATTCACGACGTAGCTGAGGTGTCGCCGTTCTCCGCCCTCGAAGGCCCGGGTTCGCAGCTCCATATTCCCTCAAGCATCATATGGAGACCTTTATATGATATGTGATGTCACTTCTCATCTGAAATTTGTAATTCGTGTTGTGACTGCAATAATCGTAGTGGGCGATGTAAAATATTCTCGCGTCGGCTCTTCACATTGGACGTCGTAATGACATTCATCATCTTTAACACTTCTGTTGACCAGACTTTATTAGGGCGATTCGCCTGATTATATTAGAGGTCCTAGGACCTGCGTCTGGAGTCTTCCGGTAGTCGCTCTGGGGTTCACTACCTGAGCACACACAGATCTCTCGGTGCCCTAGCGGTTGCACGCACACGCATGTATGGGACCGGGGGCTGTATATGTGATCACGCATGCATGCAATCACTGCTCGGCGTGTAGTATATCTCACCCTCTGGCACCAGAGCCAGCGCACACACACACACATATATAGCGAAACCTGGCAGGCAATATTCAGCAAACCATGTACACGTGATGGCTACTCAGCGCAAGAAGGATATAAGGTTGTAAATCAGATTTCGCATTTTAAAATGATATAATTCGGAGTAACATTACACAGTCTGAAGGTAAATTGTCACGCGTTTTGACATGTGAGAGCATCTGACGTTTGATCGAGCCGGAATATGATTTGCGCCACTGTTCCTCCGTTGTGATCCGTAAGCGGAGAGTGGCGTTTTGATGTTCCAGGCGACTACGAGCTTCTGAAGTACGACTTCGATCCTTGGGATTGGTTTCTTTCGTTTAATTAACTAGTGAGATACATAGTTGCATTGTTTGATTATGGGACAAGCCTATTTCAGAGAGAGGTTTTTATTTTAAATATTTATGTCCGCGAGGTCACACATTTAATTGTAATTATGTCACTACAGGATTTAAATAAACGCTAAGAGAAGTTCAAGGTCAGTGGGGTATGTACATTCCGAAAGGTTTATTACCTTGCTCACAAGAGACCGCCACTGGTTCCTATTGTAAACAACATTGATCTGATTCTCACGATCCAACCCCATTTCCCTAAGATCCATTTTAATATTATAATTTCTCCTTCGACTACGTTTTTCCTTATGGTCTCCTCCCTTCGGGCCTTTCATCCAAAATTGTGTACACATTTCCAGTCTCCCCGAGCGAACTATATGCCCGAGGACCCGGTCGGGACACCGCCTACCTGATATTTTTGTTCTTTTCCGTATTTTCCCCATGCAGATGTCAGGCCAGTACCTGAATTAGGCCACGACCGCTTCCTGTAATATCCTTTACATTTTTTTTATTAATTAATAATCCCATCATTCGACGATTTACGGCCTGAGCTGCTGACAGCGTGGTTAAATAAACATCGGCATGTGGAACAAGTAATATATCTGCTGCGCCTGAATGTTACTCCACCAAGCCATACACGGTTTACGAGTTGATGACCTGCGCTGACTGTAGAAGACCTGTAGAACTGAGTGGTCAATTGTGGACTCGTTCTGCATTCATGTCTTGAAGAAGTTGCTTCTGAAATTCGTATCGGCATAGCAGGCGGAGGTCAAATTTGGGCACCGCATTGATGGGTCCCCTCTTAAGTGGGACCCCTTGCCATAGTTTTGTGTCCCATCGCCACGAATGCAAAGTGGAACGAGATGAATCCCCCGGACTTTTTGGTCCATTGCAGTGCGACGGCAGTCAGTCAGTGTGGGAGGCGATTACTGCCGCCCCCCACCCACCCCCCTCAGATTGAATGTGATGCTATTATTGGCAAACAAACTCGCCAAAAAGGATGGATGGAATCGGCGATACGGTTCGCGTGTTCCCATCCCCCTCTGGCAAAGGGGCCACCGCGCGCACCATTTTACATGATGTATAGATTAAGTTTGGTTCATATTTCACGGGGGATGATATTGCATTTTGGGAAAATGATCGCACGGTTGATCTGCGATGTTGCTCATTTCTCTTCGTGCAACTGCGGACTGCAGTTTGTTTTGAGTCCCTGTTTGCTATTGGCTGTTTACGAAATGATATTACCAGGCTGCTGGACACCATGTAATGAAACCAGGATGTTATTTCTAGGTCTTCTCTCAGGCGTTATGTGAATACAGCCGATAATCAAGTGGCAGGAGATCTGTAGTTCGCAATTGATCGTTATTTGTTTTTACTGAAAATGTTATAAACTGCTTGTAATGAAATTGTCGGGGAATGGTCCACGAGTGTTTATCCCGGTTGGCCGGGCACTGACAGACTGACACAAAACGTAAAGTTCTGTAAGGAATTAATTTTTTTGAATAAGTTTATTTATGTACTCCCTCGTGAATTGTCTTTAAACGAAGAAACAAGCTGATTCATTCAGGAACTACCACCATTTTAAAAAAAAAATATTGCAAACCCAACATGTTTCGACCCTAAAGGTTTATCTACGGGGTTATCACAACAAGAAAATTTTTTATAATAGTCTTGCAGAAAAATGTTCGTGGTGTTACACCCGAAGAGTGTAATTTGTATCATTTAATATTGAAATTGGTGTTAAAAGATGTTGGTATACAGATTTATTTTGTTCCTAAGTAACGACTGATTATCACTATGTCGACATGAATTATGACAGTGATTAAGCAGTGTCGTACGTACGTAGGTAATAGCTCAGCTGGTCGAGAAGTTTCTGTAATAAGAAAGTACTTTTTATTAAGTGGGATTTGATGTACTCACGGCGGTGAACACGAAGATGGCTGTCTTTTGGGTACTGTCGTAGACTTTACCGACGTTTCAGAGGTTCTTGCTGCTTCCTTCAATATCGCCCTGATAATGGAGGCAGCAAGGGCCTCTGAAACGTCGGTAAACTTCTATCAGACTACACGGCGGTACAACCCGGAAGACAGTCGTAGTTCTCGTTCTACGCATAAAAGTTTGCGTAAAAATGAAACACTAGCCTTCCAGTCTTTGTTTTACCGTGGTATTCATTTTCCATTTAAATGAACACCACATCTCTGAAGATTTGGTGGGTTTTAGTTGAGAAAGTGGCGGAAAATATCATTACCTTAGACCTAGTTGGGAGGATAATATTAAAGTGTATCTCGAAGGCGTGTTATTGTTGGATTCATCTGGCTCGACGAGTCTGTGTGTGTGTGTGTCCTCAGAGCCGTCGTGGCG